TTTCCATCTGTTTTATCTAATCTGTATCCAAATACTATTATTTTCCAAGTGATAAACAAGTATTGGGAGTATTCGGTTTCCCCTGCGCTATACTCATTAAAAGTATATGCTTAGCTTGATTCTGCATACAATTTTATGGCATATCCAACAGAAAGGCAAGCTTTGGGAGATTAGCCATTGTCTATAGCTGCAAGAACTGTGTGGCTGAAAGCTGCAGAAGATTGGACATCCAATTGGTGGATCTTTGAAAAAGTATGAACAGAGGGCCAGGTCGTGGCCTTACAAAATTGTGAAAACAGAGACTCGGTGCCAGAATGCCCAAGCAACACACACCAACCTAATGGAATGAGTGCATAAAAGTGTAGGAGGAGTTTTCCCTGTAGAGCATACGCTCTGACAATGAGTTGCCTTAGCTATATAGTGAGTGGTGGACTTGGCAGCACAATGCCCCTTGCGAAGTCCTGAGGGGAGAATTAATAGAGTCTGTCTATCTAACAGAAACTGGTGCTGTGATGTAGACTCTGACTAGATCTAGGCAGTGAATAGCTATTTCTTTTGAGTGCTTTGGAGCAGGACACGAGAAGGCAGGGATGGAAGACTGAAACCACCTTAGGAAGAAAAGATGGTCTTGGAGTAAGAGTACCTTGTCATTGTGAAGAGTGAGCAATGACTTTTTATATGAGAAAGCCAATAACTCAGAGACATGTCTGACAGACAAGTTAGCAACCAAGAATGCCACTTTTACAGGGGAGATCAGCTAAGAGGATTTCCCTGATGGGTTCAAAGTGTAGTTTTTGCAGGGCAGAGAGAACTAGATTGAGGTCCCACGGAAGCACAGGGTGCTGTAAGGAGGCCTGAACAGAGATGCACCTTGAATATATGTGGGAGTGCATGGCCAGAGATTTTTGAAAGAGAGTGGGCAAAGACAAAAACCTAACCTTTTTTAGAGGGCTTAAGACCAAATTCTGTTCATGACCTGATCGAAGGAAGACCAGAATGTGAGATACAGAATAATCTCTGGGATTGAAGTGCCTTTGTTCACACCAGTCAAGGAAAGACTTCCAAAATATAATAGTAAATCCTCCTGGAAGTGACTTTTCATGCTTTTAGCAAGGTAGAAATGACAGCCTCAGAGACCCTACCTGTCTTTTAAGACCTGAGCTTCAACAGCCATGCTGTTAAAGCCAGTGACTGAGATGCAGTTGACACTGACCTGAGACAGTAGGTCTAGCCTGTTGGTAAGGGGCCAAGGGTCATCTCCTAGTGGTCTGAGTATGCCTGTGTACCCAGAACTTCTGGGCCAGTGCAGGGCAATGAGGATCACAACCTGAAAGACTGGCATCTGTCATTGTCACTTTCCAATTAAATGGAGGTAACGACTTTACCATTGTTGATTCTGGGCTCAAGATCCCCCAAGCTAGGGAAGCTTGGCTGGATAGGAGCATGGACAGGTGCAAAGAAGACACATGCTTTTTTCATGCCAACAAGATGCTGTGTTGGAGAGGTGTCAAATGAAATTGAGATTCAGAACTAATGGAGAATTATATCCACGTATTCTAGGTGAAAATCAAGGTCTGGGTCTAGGTCAAAGAGTGGTTTTCTGGAAGTTGACCACCCACCTGAAGGATATGGAATGTCCTGTGCATATTTGCAGAATGAATGAGAGTCATTCAGAAAATCATCTAGATAGATGGTGACTTGGATACTCTGACTTCTTATAAGGGTGAGAAGAGGTACAAGGACCTTTGTATATACTCTAGGAGAGTGAGATAGGCCAAATGGCAGCACAACAAAGTGCAAGGGATTGTTGCCTTTTGCAAAGCATATAAAGGTGAATAAAGTGGATAAATGGGAATATGCAGGTAGGTATCTTGGATGTACAGACACCAAGTATTCCCCTTGTCTCAGAAAGGCAAAAACTGACCTTGCAGGCTCCATGCAAAATTTTTAAATTTGAAGGTATTTGTTAAAGAACTTTAGCCCTAGGATTGAACAAGTACCCCCATTAGACTTTGGTACCATGAAAAGGTTTGAATAGAATCCTTTCAAACCTATACTGTACGGAAGGTGTTGGCAACCCCCCAATAGCGATCTTCCCATCATTTGCGGATAGGTGGCGGGTAGATTACAACCCTTCCTTTCTGACCCCTGATACCTGGACAGAAGCAGCAGCGGCATTTACTGGTACCTCCATCAACTGAAAGCCTGCTTCTCCTCCTCTCCATTCAGAGGCTGCAGTAGGAAAATACAAGGGATCGTTTCCAGTAAATGCTGCCCCCACCGCCCATCTTGTCCAGGTTCCACATCCTTCTAATGCTCGGGCCCCTCTGTGTGTTCCCCTGGTTCCCCACTGCGCCCCACCCTCCTTTGCAGCTCTCCTTGCTTCCCTTCCTCTCCTCTCCCACTGGCTGCCGCAGGTAATTGTTTCTGGATGGAGATCAGGGGAAGGGGCCAGTACATATGTAATTTGCTGGCCCCTTCCTTTTCTGAATGAACACAGTGAGTAAACTGTGTTTACTCTGCTTTGGTTTGTGAATGAACAGGGAGGTTATGCAGAGCTCTTCCTGTTCATTCATTCTGTGCAGTTGAGGTTGCAGAGATGGAGATTGAGTACTGTGCAGGGGCGGACTAACCATTTGGAAACTCGGGCACTGCCTGACGGCCCGGGGTCAGTAGGGGGCCCCATGAGATGGCCCTGGTACCTTTTTCATAGGCTTTTTTGAGTTTGGGCAAGGACACAGGGACCCCAGGATCCCCTATTGCCCGGGGGCCCCATGAGTTTTCAGTCCATCCCTGGGACTGTGTCCTCAATCTTCTTTCTCTGTCTCAAAAGTAAGACATCAGGGGTCTGTTTAGATCCCTGATATTTCACCAAAGCCCCCAAATGGGGCTGCTAAAAAAAATAGTAAAAAATAAAATTGTAAAAAAAAAAAAATGATAAAAAATATTAATAAAATGCAATAACAAAAATTAAAAACTACTGACCGTCCACTACCATACTGACACCACCCACTGCTTTACTGACCCCGTCCTCTGCCCTACTGACACTGTCCACTGCTCTACTGACTGACACTGTCCACTTTTAAGGTATAAGTTTATATTTTTACAGTGACATTTGTTTTATTATATTTTTCTAAGTTTTCCTTACTATTTACTTAGGGCTTTCTGGTTAATTTCTTCCAAACCCCAATGATTTTTGATCTTTTTCATTTTGTTCAAGTAGATATCGACCTTTTAAAGGCTGCCTGCCCATGCTGTAGGGGCAGAGAGAAATTGCATCAATAGCTATTTGCAGAGCTGGGCTTGCCACTGCAAAAAAAAAAAACACATTTAAGAGCATCTCAAATTTCTTATTGGCAAAATATTTGAATGACAGAACATCTTCATTTGCTACAGTGAGATATTTGTTTAAGACTGAGACAGAAGGGTCTACTATCAGAACAGATCATTATATAGTTACCTCTTTTTCTACTGGATAGAGTTCAGCAATGATTTTCGGAGTGGCTAAAATCTTTTCTGGATTTTTCCAATTGTCATAAATAGTCCATTCTATTTGTTCATAAATAGGGAATTTCTTTTTAGGCTGCATTCACACTTGAGCGATTTGTAGCTTGAAGTTTGAATCTCCAAAAACACTTAGAATTTAAAAATCAATTGTTCTCTATGATGCCTGTTCACACCTGATAGTGCGAACAGGCACCATGGAGAACAACTGATTTTTTAAGTTTGAGTGTTTTTGGAACTTTGAGCCTCAAGCTACAAATCACTGAAGTGTGAATGCAGCCTAAGACTTAGCAGGTCTGCTTGTACTCAGGAGGTCCAGTGAGACATAGAAAAAGTAAATATAGGAACATGACAAGCATATTGCATGAGGCCCTAACATCAGATGCATAGGAGCTTGGGGGTGAGAAATCTTCCTCTAACACTGCCTCTGGGTCTTCTTCATCTCCTTCTTTGTCTGCCTCTTCTTGGGTGGGCATAATGGGCTCCAATTCAGTTAGACGATGGAGCTGGAGAAAGAGCCAGGAATTTTTGTGCCCTGGACAGAAGGCTGTATTAAAATCATTAGTTGGCCGAGGAGAAGTGACATAGTTGCTTTGTCTTGCAATAGTGTGCAGTAATAGGGTAAGTGTGTACGCAGCTAACCAAGTGCAGAACATCCTATGGCAAAGTCCCCGTGGTACAAGGGAGTACCTTATAAAGGGCTCTAGGCGGTAAATTGTGCGACCCGTGATGTGATTCAATACCTGGTCATTCACCTGAGGCTAAGATCAGTGTGGTTGAATTTTAGCAGAAGTTTGAAAAGTTTACACTCTAAAGTAAATAAATTCCAAACAAAATGTCGGTTCTTTACATTAATGGTCAAAGATACAGGCTGATCCTGTCTCACCTATCCACTTCGCTGGTCCTTATATAAGGTCCTGGTTTTGGCTATCACATCAGACATATTCTCAGAGTCTGAATATCATAGGGATGTATCATGAAGAGGACTGTCACATACAGATGGGTTTTGTGGACCCTCCATGTAACCAACACACAGAGAGAGCAACTTTTCAGGCTTTAGCTTTTGTAAATAGCAGTTTTTTATTGAAGATTTTTCAATACAAGAAACAGGAAATATGTACATATAGCTCACTTTATAGCAAAGCTCATAGGATAGGGGCAATGAAAATACTAACGAGGTTCAACCGATAGATAGGAGAAGAAGAAGCAAATCCAATAGTAATCACACCAGTAATAATCCACCTCCGGGTGCTCCGGTTTCCTCCCACAATACAAAGACATGCTGGCAGGTTAATTGGATTCTGTCTAAATTGGCCCTAATATGTGTATGTATGAATGTAAGTGGGACAGATTGTACACCCCTTTAGGGTTATGGCTGATGTGAATGTACTTATATATATATGTGTGTGTAAAGCGCTGCGTAAATTGAGGACGCGCTATATAAGTACAATATGACAGACGCAAGGTGCTTCTCTCTTTCTGGTAGGACGTCATTGACTCATTCTCACGCGCATGTGCGGCTCAGGGAACGCACAGCGCCGCAATCGGCGGTGCACTGTGTCCCTCGGACACAGCAGATCACCGATCATGGAAAGAGCCGAAGATGTCGGCTCGGTCATGTGATCAGCTGTGTCCAATCACCAATCACAGCTGATCACATGTAAACAGGGAAATGCTGGTTATCGGCATTTCTCTCCTTTCGAGCTGTCACGCTGACCGCTCGAGAGGAGAGGAGAGCCAGTAATCGGCTTTCCGCGGAGGGGACATGTACACTGATCTTTAGGGCACTGATGATCAGTGTGCCCTGATGATCAGTGTAGCCCCAGCAGTGCCACCTGTCAGTGCCCATCAGTGCCACATCAATGCCACATATCAGTGCCTGCCAGTGCACATCAATGCCACATATCAGTGCCCATCTAAGCTGCCTTTCAGTGTCACCCATCAGTGCCAGTCAGTGCCACCTATCAATGCCAATCAGTGCCACCTATCAGTGCTGTCAATCAGTGCCACATATCAGTGCCAGTCAGTGCCAGCCAGTGCCACCTATCAGTGCCTGTCAGTGCCGCCTATCAGTGTCAGTCAGTGCCGCCTAACAGTGCCAGTCAGTGCCGCCTAAAAGTGCCAGTCAGTGCCGCCTATCCGTGCCATATATCAGTGCCATGTATCAGTGCTGCCTTTCAGTGCCCATCAGTGATGCCTGTCAATGCCCATCAGTGCCACCTACCAGTGCCTCCTCATCAGTACCCAACAGTGCCACCTATCAGTGTCCATCAGTGCAACCTATCAGTGCCCATCACTGCAGCCTCATTAGCGCACATCAGTGAAGGAGAAAAATCACTTATTTACAAAATTTTATAACAAAAACTAAGAAAAAATGTTTTTTTTTCAAACTTTTCAGTGGTTTTTGGTTTGTTTAAGAAAAAATAAAAAACCCAGAGTTGATTAAATACCACCAAAATAAAGCTCTATCTGTCACAAAAAAATGATAAAAATGTCATATGGGTACAGTGTTGCATGACAGCGCAATTGTCACCCAAAGTGCGACAGTGGTGAAAGCTGGAAATTGGCCTGGGCAGGAAGGGGGTATAAGTGCCCTGTAGGCTTGTGGTTAAATATTGTATTGTTTTTTTCCTGTTTTTTTGCACTACAAATAAGATATGTGCGTTGTGCATAGAAATGTGTTCATATTTTTTTTCAAACTATAGTCCGGCCCCCAACAGTGTGAAGGTCCATGAACTGGCACCCTGTTTAAAAAGTTTGAGGACCCCTGGTCTATTCCCTTGTTAGAACATATGCCATATACTGTATACAGCGGTGGATACTTTACTTTTTCACAATTATTTTTAGAGATATCTTCCCACTGACAAGTTCCCACTGACATAATTGATCTCTTTAGCTATCTAAAGGGGGGTAATTCTTCCCAGTGGTCACAAGTGTAAGGAGCATTCTTCCCCTGACCAACACACCAATGTATCATGAGTTGTAGATATAGTCATTTTTAGCAGGGGTTTCCTGAGACTAATAGGTGTTCTAATACCTCTCCACACTATCTAAAACTGAGAAAAAAAAAGGTTTTTCCTTTAGTTATATTTTAAGTAAATACAAAATATCTTTCTAAATGTCAATTATTGAATAAAAATAGGATAAAACAATCACACACATACTGTATGTAAATACCAACATTGTATTTTTTATTGGTGGAAGAAGTGTATCTATACATGTGTGTGATGTTTTATACTATTTTCTTTCAATATTTGACATTTAGAAAGATATTTTGTATTTACTTCATGTAACTTGTTTTTGATACAACATGTGTGTCCTGTGAAAGCAGCTTCCCTTTGACTGGCAATCCAGTCACCTTTTTTCTTTTGTATTAATACATACACTGCAGGGACCTCAGTGAGTTGGCATATTTCTAAAGTTTAAACCTTTTTACCTCTTTATTAGCAATAAAAACTGACAAGGCTTCTAATCCTTCTCCACAGTATCTATCGCACTGGATAGCCATGGGATAAAATTCCGCATAGGTTCATGAAATAAATACTGAATATTTCAGAAAACCACAGCATGCGGTATTTTAGAAGTGTTCTTTTGGTGAGTGCCAAAAAGATTTTTGAAAAACGCTTAGCGATATTTTGTCGCATTTCTTAAAGTGGTAGATAACACTTTGCGAATGGAGCCCACAGTCTCTTTTTTTCTGCTGGCAGAATGGTGTCTGAAGACATTTTGGCACTCGGAAATGCTGATTAAGGGGGATGATGGGCGTAGCTGGGGGCTTTTCCTTCTGACAAACAACTATGCAGAACTTAAAGTGGAACTGCTCTCAAAAATTGAAATACCGATTGTTTGCTTCCTCCACCAGCCTATAACTAAACTCGTTTTTTTTGGGGGGGGGGGGGGGGGGGAACAAGTACTTAAATCTGTCTGTACCCACTGCCACTTCCACAATCCTTGCATTGGCAAGGATGACATCCCTTGCCCAACCCCCTCCCCGCAACCTCCAGGGACACATGACATGTCCCAGGAGGCTAGAGGACCATTCACAAACACTGTGCAAGCTCACATATGTGTCTGTGTCCAAGATGGAGGCTCCAGGGACCTACAGCAGTAAGAAGAACTAGCAATAGGAAGGAAAGTTCCTCCTTAATGACTTCAACTCTTTGGATGCGCATAGTACATACAGAGAGTGAAGGGTTCAGCACAAGCTCATGGCTGCAGTATCAGCCACAAGCTTGTGTTTGTTTTCTTCAGCTGGCTTCTGGTACAGTGAAGGTGATCACTTTCACAGCACAAATGGAAGAGATACCTTGCCCCCTTCCCACCAATACCCACCCTCTGAGGTTACTGGGCTCTCTTGCTCTTCCCTGGAGCCTGAGACTACATTAGAGGGTTTCAGGATGGTGAGTGGGAGTAGTCGAGGAACATCCAATCCTCAATCTCCTCTGCAGTCAATGAAGCTGGAAGTGATGATGATTTTGTCATTTTGGGTTTTCAGAGCTGTCATTCCCTGGCTGATATAGCCAGGAAAGCAAGTAGCTGAGCAAATATGTGCTTGATTAGCTGCTTTGGAGGACAGGGGAGACACTGGGATCTAATAGACCGGGGTTTCTCAACCAGGGTTCCTCCAGATGTTGCTATGGGTTCCTTGAGAGATGAGATACTTCTGCCTCTCAGATACGTTCCCAGAAGCATAAGGAGCATTATTCCCAGTAACCATCACAGTAAATATAGCAATTTTTAGCAGGGGTTCCCTGAGACTGGAAAGTTATTTCAAGGGTTCTTTTGTGTTGAAAAGGTTAAGAAAGGTTGTAATAGACCCTTCATGTCTCAATAAAGAGTACATGTCACCTGCCCAATGCTGTCACATGGGGGTTTGCTAACCCTTTGTGATAGCAAGAAAGGTAAATAAATAAAAATGTTTAAAAAATAAAATTATAATAAAATGTATAAAAGAAAATTAAACAGGGTGGGCACATGTAAACTGTGATTACACCACACATTTGAGGTATCACCACAAAAGTCAAAGTGAGAGCAATAATTCTAGCCCCATAGTTTGTGATTAATTCTAAACTGACAAGTAGTAAAGGTTTTTAAAGTGTTGCCTTTGGAGACATGATATGTTTGTTATCTATTTACTGTGACACAACCCCATCTTTTACATTTTACCAAAAATTGGTACTATATTATTCCATTTTGAAATTAATTTTATAATATTTTTTCCTGACAATATGCATTTGATAATCAGTGGTGCAAATGTTGTGCAACATAAAAAATTTAAACTATCTTTTTATTCTACAAAGGTTCTGGGGGTTTTAAGTAATTTTATGGGCAAAGATGCAGATTTTTACATGTGTGCAAAAAAATGAAAACATTTCTCTAGAGCAGAAGTGGTAAAGTGGTTATAAAGGTAAAAGGTTCCTTTTTACCTTAATGCATGCTCTTAATGCAAACCTTTTAAGAGTCCCCCCCCCCCCCCCTAACTACTCACCTGAGCCTGATCTCAGTCCAGTGGGCACTGCAGGATGTCTGCAGGATCTCCTCTCCCCTCATCTGACTCACAGGCTTGGTTGTGAGCAGCGGGAGCCATGGGGTCACTTGGTGGGAGGAGGAGACAGCACCACCAGCAGGGAACTCGAGAATAGAACTATTCCACAGAGCAAATACATAAGTATAACATGTTTGTTATTTTAACCGCTTCCCGATCACCCTATAGCAGAAGTACTGCTACAGGGCAGCAGGGATGTGCAAAATCACATACATAATTGATTTTGTTTCTTCCAGGTAGGGAGGCGCGCTCCCTCAAAAATACTGTTTTTCTTTAAAAATTATCGCTCTTTTTTGTTTATAGCACGAAAAATAAAAAGCGCACAGGTGATCAAATACCATTGAAAGAAAGCTCTATTTGTTGGAAAAAAGGACATAAATTTCATTTATGTACAACTTTGCATGACCGTGCAATTCTCAGTTAACCTCTTGGCGCCGATGCCTCCCGGCCCTTTAAGGGTTGGGTTTTAGGGTCATGTGACCGCCGTGATTAGCTGTCACGGCGGTCACATGATTGGAAAAGGTCCTGATCTCAAGAAGAGATTGGGACCTTTCCGTGAGTACCGGACAGGTGTGCTGGGAGCGCGTAGGGCGCGTGCTCTCAGCACATATGTTTTTCTCAAGACCCAGATGCCGGGAGGCCGCACATTTGCCTGTGGCAGGCTTCAAGAGGTTAAAGTAACGCAGCGATGTATCGCAAAAAGTGGCCTGGTCAGGAAGGGGGGTAAATCCTCTAGAGGGCAAGGGGTTAATGAATAAAAGGGAATGTTTACAACCAATTTAAGGCCCCTTTCACATGGCTGTTCCACTTTGCTCAGCAGGATATCTGTCTGCTGTTCCCCTGCTGAGCAGGGCAGAGCGGGTGGGTGACAGCTCTGTCTGCTCAATTTCTACAGAGCGGACATGGACAGAGCCCACTCTACTCTATGGGCAGTCAGGTGTAAATGGACCAGCTGTCAGTTTACACCTGACTGCCTCCTATCCGATCAGCCTACATGGAAGAGGACAGATTTTCTTCCGTTTGTTTTTAGCGGACCAGATTGAAGGTAGACAAGTGTAAATGGACACATCACATAGAGAGGAATGGACCATCCAATCAGGTCTGTCTGAAAACTGACAGGCAGACCTCACTGGAACAGTTGTGTGAAAGGAGCCTAACAAAGAAACTTGATTTCAACAGCCTAACTTTACTTTGTGACATTGTTTTATGATATTCATCTTGGAATAATTTGCTATTAAACACATTTTACTGTTCACAGAAGAATGGAAGGACTTTTCAGTCTGGGTACATCTCACAACAGCCGACCGATCGGGTCTGCCGGTCAGTTTTTTAGGTGGACCCGATTGGACCATCCATTCTTCTCTATGGAACAGTGGGTGTAAACGGGCATGTGTCCCTTTGCACGTGCCTACATCCAATCCGATCCACTAAAAACAGATGGATGGAGAACTGTTCTACATCTGTCTAGCTGATCGGATGGCAGTTGGCTGTAAATGGAGAGGCATTCCGTTTACATCTGACCGCCTGTAGAGGAGAGCAGGCTGAGTCCATATTTGCTCTGCAAAAGCAGAGTGGACACTGACCAGCCATCTGCCTGCTCATAGGGTATCAGCTGACAGGAAGAGATTACTAAAGTTACAAAAATCCACGTACAACAGAATCCAACTTCCATAGTGTTGTATTGTATTGTATTCTTTTGTTTCTGAGCATGCTTGGTCTTGGTCTCTCAAGTTTTTCCGGGTGAATGTACTGTACTGATTGAACGACAATCGTTCATGCTGTTATTGTACAAGACACATTTTCGTGCTTGTTCCTTTGGATATTGTCACATGAACTGTCGTGATTGGCTGTTGAAAGTTGTGTACTAACGATCAATGTATCATACGATCGCTGCGAAAGCAAATTTTGTCATCTGATTTTCTGAGCGTATGTACGGGACATAATGGAAGGTATTTTTGCAAAGTGATGAGATAACTTACTATTCCCTCCAGCCCGTGCCCCCTTCCCTGACTTCTCCATCAAGATCAATAATACAACCATCAGTCCCTCCCCTCATGCCAGGGTACTAGGTGTAACCCTAAACTCCCATCTGTCCTTTCACCCCAAATCCAATCACTGTCCAAATGTTGTAGGCTTCACCTCTGCAACATCTCCAAGATACGCCCGTTCCTAACCTCAGAAACCACTAATCAACTTATACACTCCCTTGTTATATCTCGCCTTGACTATTGTAACTCCCTCCTCATTGGCCTACCTAATCACAGGCTATCCCCTCTTCAGTCTATTATGAATGCTGCTGCCAGACTCATCCACCTTACTAACAGTTCTGTATCTGCCACCCCTCTCTGCCAATCCCTCCACGGGCTTCCCATTGCCCAACAGATAAATTTCAAAACACTAACAATAACATATAAAGCCATTTATAACTCTGCCCCAAATTACATCACCAATCTTGTCTCCAAATATCACCCAAACCGTACTCTCCGCTTCTCGCAAGACCTCCTACTCTCTAGCTCCCTTGTCTCCTCCTTCCATGCTCATCTCCAGGACTTCTCCAGAGCTTCCCCCATCCTCTGGAACTCTCTACCCCAATTTATCAGACTATCGCCTACTCTGCTCAGTTTTAGGCGATCTCTGAAAACTCTTCATTGAAGCCTATCCTGCCCTCAGCTAATAACAGAATCTTCTATTCCTCCTACCAGTCCATCCCCCACAGTTATTACCTTTTGTACCACTAGCCCTCCCCCTTAGATTGTAAGCTCCAATCCCTCTTGTATTGAACTGTATTGTTGCTGTATTGTCTCCCGTTATATTGTAAAGCGCTGAGCAAACTGTTGGCGCTATATAAATCCTGAATAATAATAATAATGATTGTAATAATAACTAGAAAATCTACAATTTCTGGGGAAATTGTGTGAAGTGTTCTTGCCTCCAACACTAACCAAGTGATTGATGAAATGTAAACAGTGCACATGGCAAGCTTGAAGAAATGCATTTGAACTTTTATTTTGCAGCTCACACTGTAGCTTTGGTCACTCTGCTTCCTGGTGACTCCCCTTCGGTTGCTATGGCAACTCACTCAGTCAGAACAAGCTGAGAGGGGCTTTTATAAACAAACTGCTCCAACTTGCTCACTTCACTGGCAGTTGCCATCTTCAAACGGTTGTAGTTTTAAAAGTATAAATCCTACAGCAAAGAGCTTTATATTGTGAGACTCACAAGACCCAGACCTACATGTTGATGTATAGTATGTCTCTGAAATATTAAAAATTAAGGCACAGTCGTAGTTTAGAAATGGCCCTTCAAATTTCAGGTGGCTGCGAGTGAAGTTTCAATGAAAGTCAATGGGCGGCGTGAGTTGCAAACAAATGGTCATATTGTGAAAACTATCAGGAGTATGGCTTAGCCATGAACATTTTTAGTGACAGCCGGGACAGCTGAACGTTTTGATATAAGATTTGTGTAGGTGGGCTTGAAAATGAGGGAGTGATGGCAGTTTAGAAATCATGTCCTGATTTTTCCTTCTACACTCTAGCTTTTGTCAGCTCCCACTCTAGTTGCGCCATTCATTTCTATGGGAAAATTTCACCACAAAAAACGCGATATTTCGTGAACCATTCGGCGAAACGTTCCACAAAGTAACAACGCACCAATCGGGAACAATCCGCACGTTTCCGTATATTACTGTCTATGTAGTGTAAGAACTGTGGGAGGAGTTAGGGTGGCTATAATAATAAGAACCTATATGTGAGATAACAGGGGAGGGGTCTGCAATGCAAAAACACCTAAAAAAGAGAGGCAGGGAACAACGCTCAACTTCCAAGTGTTCTGGAATGGGGCTCAGAGAAGTCTATATTGCCCTCAGTGTCACTGAACTTCTCTGTGACATCCTCTTTGTCAGTATCATTGAACTTCCCCAGAGAGATCCTCATTGTCCGTATCACTGAACTCCCCCTGAGAGATCCTTATGTATCATCACTCCTGTCAGTAATCACTGAACTTCTTTCAGAGAGATCCTCACATCAGTATCAATGAACTTCCCCTCAGAGGAATCTTCACATCAGTGTCACTAGAAAGATCCTTCACTTGGTGTCCGTTGAGCTTTCCCAACCTCTCCATCTGCTCAGTAAGCTTCGAGTCTTTTTAAACCGCCCAAACTACCAAAATATCAAGCTATGGAGAGTCAAATTTGAATTTAACATTAAAATCTTTCTTTTGGCTTGTATGTTCACTTCCAAATATTTCTGGCTCTATAAACCATCTAAAAACACAAATAATTCAGATTTCATCAATCCTGAGGTGGCAAAACCCATTTCCCAGAATCCTTTGCAAAGATATGCAAATGAGCAGGTTCAGCCAGTAACATTCAAATCATACCTGTGCTGATAACTGTCACCAGTGTGCCTATGGGAGCTCTCAACTGAATTTTCATGCCATAGCTGGACACAGGAGCAGGACCACGGCAACCACCTGTAAAATGACAGCTTTCTTACCTATAAAGGTTAGGGGGGGGGGGGGTATTCTGCTGTAACAAAGCCTTCATTTTTCCTTCATGTAATCCTCCCAGCACTTTATGTGGCAATTTAAGTGTCTGCTGCAGCCTCTCCATGTATACAAGTGTAGAATCAAAATTCAAGAAACCTCAAGGTGGTAATGTTGTGTTATTAACCCCTCACCTACCGGGCACTTCTGCCCCCCACTTCTACCCCCTTCCTGCCCCCCGGGCACTTCTACCCCCTTCCTGTCCAGGCCAATTTCCAGCTTTCAGCGCTGTTGCACTTTGAATGACAATTGCGCAGTCATACAACACCGTACCCATATGAAATTTTTATCATTTTTTTGTGACAAATAGAGCTTTATTTTGGTGGTATTTAATCACCTCGGGGTTTTTTATTTTTTCTTAAACAAACCAAAAACCACTTAAAATGTTGAAAAAAAAATGTTTTTTTCTTAGTTTTTATTATAAAATTTTGTAAATAAGTGATTTTTCTCCTTCACTGATGTGCACTAATGAGGCTGCACTGATGGGCACTGATAGGCTGCACTGATGGGCACTGATAGGCTGCACTGATGGACACTGATAGGTTGCACTGATGGGCACTGATGAGGAGGCACTGGTAGGTGGCACTGATGGGCATTGACAGGCATCACTGATGGGCGCTGAAAGTCAGCACTGATAGGCGGCACTGACTGGCGCTGTTAGGCGGCACTGACAGGCACTGATAGGCGGCACTGATGCACACTGATAGGCAGCACTGACTGGCACTGATAGGTGGCACTGACTGGCACTGATTGGCATTGATAGGTGGCACTGACTGGCACTGATGGGTGACACTGAAAGGCAGCTCAGATGGGCACTGATATGTGGCATTGATGTGCACTGGTAGGCAGTATGTGGCACTGATGGGCACTGGCGGACACTGACAGGTGGCACTGCTGGGGCTACATTGATCATCAGTGCCCTGATGATCAGTGTACATGTCCCCTCCGAGGAATGCTGATTACCGGCTCTCCTCTCCTCTGTCAGCGTGACAGCTTGAGAGGAGAGAAATGCCGATAACTGGCATTTCCCTGTTTACATGTGATCAGCTGTGATTGGACACAGCTGATCACATGACCGAGCCGACATCTTCGGCTCTTTCCGTGATCGGTGATCCGCTGTGTCCGAAGAACACAGCGCACCGCCGATCGCCACGCTCCCTGAGCCGCGCATGCGCAGTGAGAATGGGAGGACGTCATCCCAGAATGAGAGAACCACCTTGCACCCCTCATATTACTATATGGCGGGCGGTGGTTAATATGGATTTGGATTTTTCCAAATTCTAACCGTTATGCTGGTCATTCACAGTTTGAATTTTGGGAAATTCCTGCTTAATGGGTTGAACTTTGGGATAAGCACACATTTAGATTTACTAAAACTGGCGCACTTACAATCTGGTGGCGCTGTGCATGGCAGCCAATAAGCTTGTTCAGTTAAGCTTTGACAATAAGGCTCCATGTAGACGGGGAATTTGGAAAACTCTTCTGAACGATGAAAACTGACTGCTGGAAAACGTAGGTTAAAAAACGTCTGTTAGCTGCGTTTGCATACCGCGTTTATGTGCGTTTTTTTAAGATAACTTCAGGAGACCTTCCAAAATGCCCAGAATGCACTGAAAAATAGTCAAAAATTAACTATTTCAAACATTTTAGGAGAAATAGAGAGAGCAGAAGCAGAGAGTGTAGTATGTGTTGTTAAGATGACCTGTCTTTTCTGGTTGTCTTCACTATGGATCCCATCATGTTATCCTGTGTGTCCATCCCCGGCGTGTTCTCCTATGTGTCCATCCCCGGTGTGTTCTCCTATGTGTCCATCCCCGGCGTGTTCTCCTATGTGTCCATCCCCGGCATGTTATCCTATGTGTCCCATCCCCGGCATGTTATCCTATGTGTCCATCCCCGGCGTGTTATCCTATGTGTCCATCCCCAGCGTGTTCTCCTATGTGTCCATCCCCGGCATGTTCTCCTATGTGTCCATCCCCAGCGTGTTATCCTATGTGTCCATCCCCGGCGTGTTATCCTATGTGTCCATCCCCGGCGTGTTATCCTATGTGTCCATCCCCGGCATGTTCTCCTATGTGTCCATCCCCGGCATGTTCTCCAACGTGTCCATCCCCGGCGTGTTATCCTACGTGTCCATCCCCGGCGTGTTATCCTATGTGTCCATCCCCAGCGTGTTATCCTGTGTGTCCATCCCCGGCATGTTATCCTATGTGTCCATCCCTGGCATGTTCTCCTATGTGTCCATCCCCGGCATGTTATCCTATGTGTCCATCCCCGGCATGTTCTCCTATGTGTCCATCCCCGGCATGTTATCCTATGTGTCCATCCCCGGCATGTTATCCTATGTGTCCATCCCCGGCATGTTATCCTATGTGTCCATCCCCTGCATGTTATCCTATGTGTCCATCCCCGGCATGTTATCCTATGTGTCCATCCCCGGCATGTTATCCTATGTGTCCATCCCCGGCATGTTATCCTATGTGTCCATCCCCGGCATGTTCTCCTATGTGTCCATCCCCCGCATGTTATCCTATGTGTCCATCCCCCGAATGTTATCCTATGTGTCCATCCCCGGCATGTTATCCTTTGTGTCCATCCCCGGCATGTTATCCTATGTGTCCATCCCCGGCATGTTATCCTATGTGTCCATCCCCGGCATGTTCTCCTATGTGTCCATCCCCGGCATGTTATCCTATGTGTCCATCCCCGGCATGTTCTCCTATGTGTCCATCCCCGTCATGTTATCCTATGTGTCCATCCCCGTCATGTTATCCTATGTGTGTCCATCCCCGTCATGTTATCCTATGTGTCCATCCCCGTCATGTTATCCTATGTGTCCATCCCCGTCATGTTATCCTATGTGTCCATCCCCGTCATGTTATCCTATGTGTCCATCCCCGGCGTGTTATCCTATGTGTCCATTCACACATAGACTGTAATAAACGTTTTGTTTTGGCTGGAAAAAAACCCAGGACTAGTGGGTTTCTAGAGAAGATTTTTAGCTGTAAAAATGCTCTAAATGCTGAAAAATGTGGCAAAACGCGGTAAACTGCCGCAAACTGGTGTTTTTTGGACTTTTTTGACCCCCCCAAAATTTTTTTTTTTAAAAAATGCAAATGTGGCAAAACTCCGCTAAATGCTAATGCAAAAATGCTTAAAAAAGCTACAACTGGAGTGGGCGGAGTAACTGGGTGGAGTGGGCGGAGTAACTGTTGTGTGGTTGGAGTGGGCGGAGTAACTGTTGTGTGGTTGGAGTGGCTGGAGTAACTGTTGTGTGGTTGGAGTGGCTGGAGTAACTATTGTGTGGTTGGAGTGGGCGGAGTAACTGTTGTGTGGTTGGAGTGGGCGGAGTAACTGTTGTGTGGTTGGAGTGGGCGGAGTAACTGTTGTGTGGTTGGAGTGGGCGGAGTAACTGTTGTGTGGTTGGAGTGGCTGGAGTAACTGTTGTGTGGTTGGAGTGGGCGGAGTAACTGTTGTGTGGTTGGAGTGGCTGGAGTAACTGTTGTGTGGTTGGAGTGGGCGGAGTAACTGTTGTGTGGTTGGAGTGGGCGGAGTAACTGTTGTGTGGTTGGAGTGGCTGGAGTAACTGTTGTGTGGTTGGAGTGGGCGGAGTAACTGTTGTGTGGTTGGAGTGGGCGGAGTAACTGTTGTGTGGTTGGAGTGGCTGGAGTAACTGTGAAAAGGTAGGACTGGGCAGAGTAACTTTATGAAGTGGGTGGAGTAACTGTGTGGAGTGGGCGGAGTGAGTAAAGATAGTGAACATTACACTAACCAATTGATCAAATTTAAAAAGTGCCCATGGCAAGCTTGATAGAGTGAGAAATGCATTTCAACTTTTATTTTTCAGCTCACACTCTCGCTTTTGTCACTCTGCTGCCTGATCACACACCTGGGTTCCTATGGCAACTCACTCTACAGCAAGGGCAGAGAAGAGCGGTTAAAAACAAACTGCTCCAACTTGCTCACTTCACTGGCGGTTGCCATCTTCAAACGGTTGTAGTTTAAAAAATATAAATCCTACACTGAAGAGCTTTAAATTGTGAGAATCACAAGACCCAGACCTACATTTTGATGTATGTGTGTATGTCTCTGAAATATTACAAATGAAGGCACAGTCGCAGTTTAGAATTTGCCCTTCAAATTTGAGGTGGCTAGAGTGGAGTTTCAATGAATGTCAATGGGCGGCGTGAGCTGCAAACAAATGGTCATATTGTGAAAACTATCAGGACTAGGGCTTAGCCGTTTAGTGGCAGCAGGGATAGCTGAACGTTTTGATATACGATTTGTGTAGGTGGGCTTGGAAATGAGGGAGTGATGGCAGTTTACAAATCATGTCCTGATTTTTCAGCTCACACTCTAGTTTTGAACATTCCGCCATTCATTCCTATGGGACCAATTTCACCACAAAAACGCCGATATTTCGTGAACCATTCGGCGAAACGTTCCACAAAGTAATAGCACACCAATCGGGAACAATCCACACGTTTCGGTATATTACTGTCTATGTAGTGTAAAAACTGTGGGAGGAGTTAGGGTGCTAAAATTGGCTATAAGAATAAGAATAAGAATATATATGTGAGACTAGAAAATCTACAATTTCTGGGTAAATTGTGTAAAGTGTTCTTGCTGCAACCTTTACCAAATGATTGATGAAATGTAAGCAGTGCACATTGCAAGCCTGATAGTGAGAAATGCATTTCAGCTTGTATTTTGAAGCTCACAGTCCAGCCTGGTGAGTCATCTGCCTCTTGAGTGACCTTTGGTTGCTGCACCTGGAGAGGGCGGAGTAGGCTCACTGTGCTGAGACAGCTGGGTTGCTATGACAACTCACTCTGAGAGGAATGTCAGCATGTCTGTTCTAAACAGGCTTTTCAAACTTGCCAAGTTCACTGGCGATTGCCATCTTCAAACGCTTGTAGTATAAATGCTACCATGAAAAGGTTTATATTGTGACAATTACAAGAAACAGACCTACATTTTGATGCATAGTATGTCTCTGAAAGATAAAAAATGAAGGCACAGTCGCAGTTTAAAAACGTCCCTTAAAATTTCTGGTGTCTAGAGTGGAGTTTCAATGAAAGTCAATGGGAGGGGTGAGGTCCAAACAAATGGTCATATTGTGAAAACTATCAGGAGTATGTCCTAGCCATGAACATTTTTAGTGGCAGCAGGGTTAGCTGAACGTTTTGATATAAGATATGTGTAGGTGGGCTTGAAAATGACAGAGTGATGGCAGTTTACAAATCATGTTCTGATTCTTCTGATTTTTCCTTTGCACACTCTAGCTGTGCTCTGCTGCTCAATGCATTCCTATGGGAAAATTTCGCCACAAAAAACGCGATATTTCGTGAACGATTTGGCGAAACGTTCCACAAAGTAATAGCAATCCGATCGGGAACAATCCGCACGTTTTGATATATTACTTGTCTTTGTAGTGTAAAAACTGTGGGAGGAGTTAGGGTGGTAAATATGGCTATAATAATAAGAATAAGAATATATATGTGAGAATACAATAAGTGTTCCTTGCTATGCAAGAACACTTAATAATAGATTGTAAGCTCCAAGGAGCAGGACCCTCGATCCCCTCGTGTATTGTACTGTATTGTTACTGTACTGTCTTGTGTATTGTCTCCCATTATAATGTACAGCGCTGAGCACACTGTTGGCGCTATATAAATCCTGTATAATAATAATAATGAAAAAATTCCCATTTAGGAGACAGCCAGCAATAAAAACCTGACAGGGGTTCTAATTGCTCTACAACTAAAAGAAAGAAAAGAGGGAAAATCCCTGATTGTAAGCCACCATCCCCAAAATAACAATTAGATGAAGGAGGGACCCCCAAGGACTTAGGACTTTGAAGGCTTAAATAGTATCAAAAATATTAAAAAAGTACAACTTTGTATTTGTGAACAATTGTTATGACACATAGACATACAACACAGTACTATGACTCTGTATGATGTATTGAATGGGATGTCTAGGTGTCATAACAATTGTTCACAATTAAAAATGTGTACTTTTTTGGTACAACCCATTATAAAAGTGTTTCTTTAGTTCTACTGCAATTGGAAGATTGGTGAAGGAAACCACGAGTCAGTCCTCAGCATGTTCTGTTCTAAACACTGAAATGGTCCCTATTCATCCATGAGTCCTGATCCCTGCTCACAACCCCCAGACAGATGATGAGAATATCGTACAGTGTGTGTCTGTGTCCGCTCGGTGTCAGCACTTCCCCCCTCTGTACATCGGACCCCCATTTCTATCCCTCTTACCGGGCTCAGAGTCCAGGCTGATTTGTTGTCACCGGCGTCTCCAGGGGAACAGGGGGCGGGGACAAGTCTCCCCGGTGACAGGAAGGCGGCTCCAGGGGGAAGACTCCGCCCCTGTCTGTTCAAGGCTCCTTCATTGAGGTGTCACTGATCAGTAGGATCGACATTTTTCCAGAGACTTCTATGATACGATCTGGCAGCCTCTATAGAGGACTGGATGTTTACGTTTCATCTCCGTTGATTCTATTTGCAGTAGGCTGAGGACATTGTACAGGGCGGATGGTTGTGTACAGTACAGAATTCACGGTGTCACATGGTGTCAGAGATTAGGGGAATGGACTAAAACTGGAGCAGATGTGCGGAGGAAGCAATCGGCTACTAGCTGGGGCTCATTCAGGCTCTGTTCATAAGTGTAGTGCGTTTTCAGAAGCGCAGGGACTCACAACCTTCTGTGGGCCCTCCGTTCACACTAGAATGCAGTGCCCTTGAGATCTGCTGTAGAGATCAGTTATTATTTATTAGTATTTATTTCAGGTACTTATATAGCTCCGTCAATTTACGCAGCGCTTTACATATATATTGTACATTTACATCAGTCCCTAACCCTCAAGGGGCGTACAATCTAAGGTCCCTAACTCACATTCATACATACACGTACTAGGACAATTTAGACAGGAGCCAATTCACCTACCAGCATGTCTTTGTAGTTTAAAGTTAACAACACTCCAAATACATTGCGTTTTTTCCCCGCAACGGATTGCCGTGCACATGCACTACTTTTGGTGCAATGCAATTTCAGCCCATTCAAAACAAATAGGGCTGAAATCACACTGCAAAGAACATGAAAATCGCACAGGGACGATAGTGCTGTGAGCTGCAGTTTCTAGTGTGAATGGGCCCTTAGCCCGGGTCCACACTGATGTGGTGCAGCACAATGCATGTGATTCGCACAGGAACTGCACCGCATTCCTGTGCAAGTCACATGTGATTTCTGTGCGGTACAGTTTGAGCCATAGATTTTGTATTGCTCAAATTGCACCGCATCTGCACCAAAAAAGTGCAGAACCCTTTTTTTGCCCACACCAGAATCGGATCGCATGGGTGTTCACGCCCACACGATCCGATTCTTCACCTCGCACCACATTTTGCAAACTGATTTCGAGGTGTTAACTTAAAATACACACCCGCAGCAAATCGTATGAATGGGATGCGATTATGATGTGGTGTGGAAATCACATAGAAACCGGTGCCAATTCCACACCGGATCATGAACCCAAGCTTAGTATAGGTTCACACTTGTGTGGTGCAGGACATCGCATGTAGTTCGCACAGGAATCACACCACATTTCTGTGCAAATCACATGCGATGTCTGTGTGGTGCGATTTAAGCCATTCATTTTGCATGGCTCAAATCGTATCCACAACAAAAAGGTGACAGACCTTTTTTTTTCCGCAGCTGATTGGCATCACATGGCTGTTCACACACGTGGTGAGAATTCTAGCATTGGCACTGCATTTTGCGATCTGTTTAGGGGTGTCATTAATTTAACAT